GAATATGAAACAGAGGAGATGGAGTTGATGTTGAAGCTTGGTTTAGCTTGTTGTCATCCAGACCCTGAACGGCGGCCGACAATGAGGGAGGTTGTGGCTGTTTTGATTGGAGAACAACAGGCAGCTGAGTCAGTGGAACTTTTGTCGGGATTGTCCGGCGGCGCTGTTGATGGCAGCCCAGAAGTTTGACTGTCGACTACAATGTTTTAACTTGAATTTATTTCATCTTGATTGAATAATTGTTCCTTTTTCACCGTCTGTAATTACAAGATTCAAACAATTTCTGCGAGTTTTTAATAGATTGTGTATTGGAAAGTTAGTGAATCTGTGTAAAGAAAGGCCTGCATTACAGAGATGGCAGTAAAATTTAGCTTCAAATTTTCACCGTCAGCAACATCAGAGAGTGAAGTTGAGGGAATGGAAACTGAATTGCTGTTTGTTCTTCTCTGAGCCTTTCCTTGAACCTCCAGACATTTGCTTACAAGCTTTGGCTACTGACAAGTTCATTGCCTCCGGCCCGCTGCTGATCACGCCGATGTCCGATTCGCCTGCCGGGTTGTTGATGTTGGAGAATATCTCTGTTCAATCCCCAACGAATTACAATCATATATTGTTTCGAGTATCGAAAATTCGAATGAGTTTGTTTAAGAGATACCGTCCGTACCTATGAAGTTAGGCCTTTCTCCAAAATGTATTTCATGTTCTTCTTGTCTACTTCCTCTTGCTACTGAACTTGGAGTTGTGTTCTTGGTTTGGTTTTGGCTTTGGATGAGTGCTAGATTACATTTCTTCAGTCTTCTCCATCGTAAAACAATCCCGACGACTGCCCCGGATAAGATAGCTAAAGCGAAGGAAGACATCAGAAGAAGATCCGAGATCCAAGATGGGGTTCTGTCTTTTGTCTTTTTGGAGGCTTTCTCGGTTGGAACGACGATATGGTTGAAGACGATAAGGGCGACAAAGAACACGATTGATATCAGTCCAGTAATTACAGCCATCCAGCCTAAGCTTTCAAGCCCATGTGCTGCATAGCTTGAACGGTTCACGCTCGAGTGTATCGTCTGCATTTGAGAGAACTTGTTTAGCAGTTCGGTTAGAGTTGAACCAGATTGCAGTTCTTGTGTCACGAATACTTTGAGCTGCAAATGCATTTTTCCATCCAAGCGTTTCAGTAGTAAAGGTAAGATCGAGCTGAGTAGCGCAACCTCGTGGGACTTTTTCATGACATGTATAAGTTGGATTCTTGCAGGGCAGATGAATTTAGTGTTGTTCTTCATAGAAGTGATCTCTTGTAAAATGCTCAAAAGTGGGGTTACTCCAATTCCTCCAGCAATCAGAATCAAGTGATCATATCTGCAAGAGATTAGTTACGCGTTCGGGTTACCGAAAACATCAATCCAGTACATTTGAGAACATAAACATACCTTAGGAAGTCCAAGGAGGCAGGTCCATAAGGGCCCTCGACTGCAACGGAGATGCACTTCAACTGATCCGACTCTCCCTCTCGTTCGGTGTTGATTATCTCATACAAAGACTTCGTCCATGACTTATTACATTTAACGACAATCGAAATTGTTTCATCATCAACACTCGAGCTGGAAATCAAGCTGAAAGCATGCCACTCAAATCTGGAAATCCTTGGTATCTTCACATACACAACGCTAGTTGGTTTATACTTCAGCCCTTACATTGCAAAGAAATTTGGCTATTTAGAGAATTCTCATATTAAATCTGCAAAGGAAAAAAAGGGATGGGTGTAGAAGTACTCTGGTCTTTTGGTAGAGTTAGTTCCACAGCTTTGCAGGGGAGGACTCGAGCCGAGACGACACACGTTTCGGTTCTAGACTGAATAATTCGGAGGATCTTATCAATGGCAAAGAGAAAAAGTCCAGGAAATATTATGTAAAAGTGTCTATCTCCAGCATGAAACAAGAAGAACACAAAAAAGACAATGTATAAATGGTGTGTGTAGTAGAAGATCTCAAATTTGATTCTCCTTATCTGAGGCAGGGAAGTGATCCAAATCACTAATCCTGTAATCAAAGTAATCTCCCCGGCGATGTAAATCCGGCCGGTGTTCTGCCATTTCCACACCTAGTTTCAACAAAACATTAATCACATGGAATCATTGACATTAATCATGGAAACGAAACATTCTTTATAAGGGTATAAAAATCTTTAGCAGACGTATTTTAAAACCTTGAGGGGAAGCCTGGAAGGAAAAGCTCAAAGAGGACAATATATGTTAGCGGTGAGGTGAGTCGAGCTTGGACGGTTAAAAATGGTATCAAAGCCAGACACCAGGCGGTGTGCTAGCGAGAACGCTGGTTCCTCAAGGGGGTGGAGTGTAAGATCTCACATCGATTGGAGAGGAGAACGAAGCATTTCTTATAAGGGCGTGGAAACCTCTCCCTAACAAACGTGTTTTAAGACCTTGAAGGAAAGCTCGGGAGGGAAAACCCATCTAGGAAAATATCTACCAGCAAATATCTACTAGCCTTGTTAGACCTCTAGAGTGATAGGAATAGAAACAAACAAGGCAAAGAAGAAGAGTTACCTGATCTTGAATCTGGTTGCTGATGCCCCAGATGAACAAGGTGCTGGCGCCATGGATGGTGCCAAACAACACCATTGCAGTGCCAAGCCAGACGTGATACTTCACTGAAGCTTCAAACTGAATGCCAATTAGCCGAAATGGAGCCAACCCTCTCAAGACAGGCAGAAGAAGCAGCCCCAAACAGGCCTCTGCTAGCAAACCAAACCTGGTGGCTACTCTTAAATACTTGAGTTCCCATCTGAAAGTCATCAAAATTGGACATAATTCAACCCCAGAGAGTCATACAATAAAGAAAGAGCATTAACACTTTGTTCTTCAAAATCACTCACATCTTCAAGTTGAGTGATTCTTCGGGCATCAACTTTCTGAAATCTTTAGATATTCGAGCATAGAACGTCCAAGCCAGGAAGAGGAGAAACAAAGCAACACCCAGAAGCTCAATTCCAGATAAAATACCCACATAGCTGTTCACAACAAGTGGGTTCGAAAGAGTATTGGAAAAGGTTGAAAACTTTGTTTGCCTGTTGAAGAAAAACAAAACAAAAAAAAAAAAAATCAAGAAGAAGATCAAAAGGCCTGTTCTAAGCGTGTAGATATTTGACGACCAAGATGAACATTCCTGCAAGTTTGTGGCTTGGAGGGTTTGATATTCAAGTAAACCAGTCCGATTATAACGAGAGCAATAACAGGAAAAGTATACACCACAAAGTTGAGACCTGAAAAACATGAAATCATTTCAATTATATATGACAAGCAGGAGCTGGATCTGCAAGAATAAACGACATGCAGACTAATATACCATAGTATCCAAATACAGAGGCTCGGGCAGTGTTTTCAGCAACACGCCATTTTCTTGTCCAGAGATCTGTGGGTTTCAATAGCCACAGAGAAACCCAACCAGCACATAGAAGAATCATGAACACTTCGATAGCAGTAAGAAGAACGGCTCTTGCCTTATGATTTCTGTTCATATTTGAAATTATCCGTCCTCTGTTTTCTGTTTGGCTATTTGGGGTTTGGGTTTGCGTTGTGAATTTATACCTTTTAGAGGGAGATCAATAAGAATGTTTCAATTTCCACGAGTCGAGCTACGTGGTGGGTCATTAAAAGTGGGGGAACATAAAACAGAACTTGTACAAACTTTACATGATGGCTTCAAAAGTCTAAGATTTGTTCAATCAGATTGGATTTAATTCATACAGAGGAAACGCAAAGTGTCAATATTGATGGTGGAACTGTAATGAGCCTTGAATAGCTCTGATGCTGTAATGGTATGAATGCTTTTTCATAATGGACAAAATGGGAAATGGTGTCCTTTCATTGTGGGAAAATAACGCTATCTTCTCTCTTCCCTTTTTCTTTTCCATAGTCTGTTCATCAATTGGATTGATCATTATCTTTGCCATTTTGGTAGGCATCTTCAAGCCGACTTTCAATGGCGTGATCTTGTTTGTCAAACAGCACTTTTTGTGGTCTGTGTGAGACTCCATGGATTCCATAAAGCACCAATCTTGCACTCAAGAGTCTATCTCTGCAACTTGCAGAAAGCCACAAAGAAGAAGGGAGAGAGAAGAAGGAGACAAACATAAATATCTATTCCCAACGAGCTTGTTACTAATCAACTAAACAAGCTAACAAGATGATGTCCCAAAAAAGTTTGTATTTATTTGCAACGATGACATGGGAGACAGTAGTAGTCCTCCAACCCCACTGCTCGTAGATATTATCTGCTTTGGTCCGTTACGTATCATCATCAGTCTCACGGTTTTAAAACGTGTCTATTAGGGAGACGTTTCCACACGTTTATAAGGAATGTTTCGTTCTCCTCTCCAACTGATGTGGGATCTCACCATCCACCTCCCTTGGGGCCAGCGTTCTCCCTGGCATACTGCCCAGTCTTTAGCTCTTATACCATTTGTAACAACTCAAACCCACTATTAGTCGATATTGTTTGTTTTGACCCATTACGTATTATGGTAAGCCTCACGATTTTAAAACGTGTCTATTAAGGATAGGTTTTCACACTCTTATAAGGAAGGCTTCGTTCTCCTCTCTAACCGACGTAGGATCTCACCATTATACTTCTGTTGTACACTACCTTGACACGAAAGAAGAGTTTAACAACCAAAGTGTTAGCTCCTCTTCTTATGAGCTCGTGACCAACAAGCAGAAGATGGTCTATGGAGGTTGGATAAATGTACAACATAAATGTGCACATAGTTTAGCTCAGGAATACGAGGAAAGCACAAACAGAAGCCAAGGTGGTCGTCAACAAGCAAGAGGCAAGTTGATGATGGAAGCTATTGGCATCCAATATAAGGTCAGCAAGCATTAAGTAAGTACTAGATATAAATGATTCAATCTTCCATTACCAAACATCATGCTCCCAAGGACCACAATCAAAGCAAGCCACTTTATTACTTTTTAAACATGGATCCAAGACATTTACTCTGCACCATTCACAATACATTTAATTTGTCTGTCAATATATTACCAATCTGGGGTTTTCTCAACCTACTCATGATCAGAATGATCAACACCAACCAAAGTCATATTTTAAGTTTTTTTTTATGAGGCTTATCTTGATGTTTTGAAGAGAAGTTGGAAAAGACTTGGCAACTTTTGGAAGAATCTTTAGAGGATGCATGTGCCACCCCCTCATCATATTATAAACTGGCCCCCATGAGAAGGATGGAATGTTAAAGATTAACTATGAAACCTAGCTTTTTAGGCTATTTTGACAAACCCACTTTTTAATTCCTAAAAGTGTCGATAAGTTTAGAAAGAAATAACTAAAAGAGATCGGTAAGTTCTAAGAATTGATATGAATCAAGAGACATCAATCATAAAATATACTTTAAGCTAGACATGATCGATCTTACTTGTGAAGTGATTCGAATCTTAAACAAGTGTTCTTGCCTTGAGATATTCGATCAAAGAGGTAATTCGAATGTTACTCTCCTTATAGTGATTCCTTATCTTATCAAGTATTTGGCAACTAAATGCTCCAAGTTGATTGGATAATATAAAAAGGAGGAGTGGGGGGTGGGGGGTGGGGGAGGGAAATCAAATGGGTAAGAGTTTGTCAATCTTTTCAACTAAAGAGTTCTTCATTCAAGTGGTTAAAGCTATGGAAATCAAAAGAAATTTGGTTGGTTTTTTTTTCACCTGTTCTGTTTGACTAAGCCAAAGACACAAGGGGAAAAAAAGGAGAAGGAAAAGAAAAGGCAATGTTGACAGAACAATGTGGCTGCAGGCCCATGACACAAGAGAATCTATCCTCTCTTTCTCTCTTTTCCTTTGTGGTTATGAGAGCAAGAATGTCTTTTTCTTTGTATACTTCCAACCCACTAAAAACACATTCTTGTCATTTTCATTCTCATATCAATTCTTATTGTTCTTTGCGCATTTGGAGAGCGAAAGAGACAGAGACAGAGAGAGAGCTAAGAATGGAAGAGGAGTTTCAAGGAAGGCCAGCAGAGTTACAACTGCAATGCTGCAGTGCAAGGATCATGTCACCAGAGATCGTCGAGATTGGAGACGAAAGTAAGACTATTATCAGTAGCAGTGACTGTGGTGCAACCGATGTCTATGTCGCCGTTGGTAAAGATGATATAGATGTGCTTAAATGGGCCCTTGATCATGCTGTCTCACCTGGCTGTTGTGTCTTTCTTATCCATGTTTTTCCTCCTCTCACCTACATCCCTACTCCAGGTAACCAAGATTTCTTCTTTGTTTCCTTCTTTCAGATCATAATCACAGATCAGTCAACGTTTCTAGGCTGTTTTTCTTGAAAACTTGCCTTTGATGGATGTTTGATGCACATGGGTCATGGGGAAATGAATATTTTTTGTTCCTTTTGCTACTTTTGACTATCTGGGTTCCTTCCAAAAGAGTCAAACTCAAGCATAGATTGTACAGATAAGTTCTTCTTTACATGATGGGAAGAAAACTAAGTCCAATCTGCTGAATCTACAAGGATATGGAAGGGAAATTCTCTTCAAACACACAAGAAAATGATATGATCATGAGTTCATAATCATCTTCATTGGCTTGTAATTCATCTTTGTTCATGAATTGCTGTGAATTGCAGCATTCTTACTTGCAAACCCATTTTGGTTTCAGTTGGAAGATTAGCAAGGAGTCAACTGAGCCAAGAACAACTGAGAGTGTACACCAATGAAGAAAACAATAGAAGGAGAAATCTCCTGCAGAAGTACATCCGCTTATGCACTGACGCCAAGGTCAGTCTAAACTATGTCTGAAAAACACTGATAAAGAAACTTGTCTGAAACCTTAAACTCTGTTCCCATGTCTCAGGTGACAGTGGACACATTGCTTCTGGAGAGCAACACGACAGCCAAAGCAATCCTTCAACTAATTCCAGTACTCAACATCACCAATTTAGTCATAGGAACCAAAAATCCACTTTCCACAAGGTTTGGAACCTTTCCATTTTTGTGGGGTTTTGCAGAACTTGAATAAACAACAAACAATCCCTTTTATCAAATTCTCACCAAATTTGTGTAATTTCTTCTTAGGCTATTGGGGAAAAGAATGGCGAAAGGAGAGTTTGTGAAAAAGAATGCACCAGAATGTTGCGAGGTTACCATTGTTTATGAAGGCAAAAAGGTCGATGAGCGTCACCAGGAAATGGGGTTGCTTCATTCTTCTCAAAACTCCGGTAGCCGTCGCCGGCGCTCCGGCAAGAACTTGTTCGAGTGTGTGTGCTTGTTCAGCAGGTCGGGAAGCGATTAATGGGTTCTGTTAATGCAATGAACAAGATGAAGAAGAACAAACGAAGAGAGAATCACAATTTTTACTTACTTTTTGTTTGTTTGAATCCGATCAAAGCCTACAGATAGCCCATATCAGCTGGCTTGTAATTTAGCGGCCGCCGCAATTGAAATGAAATGATTTATGCATAGAAATTGTCGGACCATTCGATTATTTTCCTGCTTTTGTTTTTTAATACCGAAAGTTGGATCATCGGACTGCCTAATTGTCGACTTGTCGTAACTGTATAAAATATATATATTTTTTCGTGGAAACGACAATTAAAAGGGAGAGTGGTGGGCTCGAATTTTGGATCTCGTCCAATTCTGTCGGCCCATTTATATTGGGCCTCGTAGCCCATCATTATCAGCACCGACCGAACAATTTCATTACTTTGTTCTCTCTAAACGTGAGCCCTCCCTTCTTCCACCTCTTCGCTTGTGGATCTTGAACAATTCGAGCCGGAATAGCAAGAAATTCCGGGCGGTACGATCGGTCAGGTATCTTCCCTTTTCAATTCCACCACTGTTGGAGTAAGTTCTGCTTTGAAATCCCAGCCCGTGTATCAGAGTCATGAATCCTTACGACCATAGATACGCCGATCCCAATTCCTACCGCGAGCGCCGAAGGTATTGTTGGTATTTTAGAGGTCTCTTTCCTTTCCTTGAATTCTCTATGAAGGTTCTGATCTCTCTGCCCTTTTGTGGGTGTCTTTTGATTTTTCTTTTGCAGTGACCTAGTGGGTCCACAGCCTGCTGCGCCGCCGCCGATGGCAGGGCGTGAATCTATGTACAAAGGCTTTCATCCTCCTCCAGTACCATATTATGGCCGTGAAAGAGGTGGGGGAGGTGCTTTACCTAATGCTGGAGGTTTCAATGGCTTCCCGCGGTTTCAGCCTCCCGCAGGACCGTTCAATATCGGTCGCAGTGGCAATGATTTCGGTAGCGGCGGAAGGAGAATGTTTAATTCTGGGAGGGGCGGGAATATGGGTTTTGGAGGTAGACGTGGTGGAGGAACGGGATTTGAGGGGCGTGTTGGCGGAAGTGGGGCTGGACGTGGTGGTTCATCAAGAGGGGACTTAGATAACATAGTTCTTCCAAGTCAGAATTTTGGGGATTTGGTCCCTTTTGAAAAGAACTTCTACACCGAGTGTCCTTCTGTGCGTGCAATGACGGAGTCCGAAGTCAAGATGTACAGAGAGAGGCGTGATATTAGAGTGGAAGGATACGATGTCCCAAAACCGATTCGGAGTTTTCAGGAGGCAAATTTTCCTGGTATTTACATATCCCATGAATTGAACGGGCTTGTATTTATGTTTTAGTATTCAAGAAACTTGCTGATTTTTCTTTATATTCGTTTGTTAGCTTACTGCCTTGATGTGATTGCGAAATTGGGATTTGTTGAACCAACACCAATTCAGGCTCAAGGATGGCCCATGGCCATGAAAGGAAGAGATTTGATTGGCATTGCTGAAACTGGCTCTGGGAAGACTCTGGCCTATCTACTGCCAGCCTTAATACACATTAGTGCCCAGCCTCGTTTGGGTTAGCATTAGATGACAGAGTTGCAGTCTTAATTTCTTTTTGTTGCTACTCTTCTTTCGACAAGTAACATTGTGCTAACTTGTTCTCCATCTACATTCATTCAGTGCATGGTCAAGGTCCCATTGTATTGGTGTTAGCGCCCACCAGAGAATTAGCTGTTCAAATTCAACAAGAGGTCACTAAATTTGGGTTGCGTGCAAATATTAGAAGTACTTGCATTTATGGTGGGGCTCCTAAGGGCCCTCAAATTCGTGATCTCAAAAATGGTAATTGTTTTCACTGAACTGTTTTTTGACTGTTTGTGGTTGGTTTCTGGCAGTAATATAAGCTACTTCATTATATCTCAGGTGTTGAGATTGTTATTGCTACACCTGGTCGGCTCATAGATATGCTGGAAGCTGGCCACACAAACCTGCAGCGAGTTACTTATCTTGTTTTGGATGAAGCTGATAGAATGCTGGACATGGGATTTGAGCCTCAAATAAGGACAATCGTGAGCCAAGTATGATATTACACCCCCGCTTTCTTTCTCCATACTTTGATAATGGAATTGCTTGTGGAGATGTACAATTAGTTTTATTTCTGGCTCTAGTCGGTGCTTGTAACTTTATAGTTTTGATGGTGCTTGTGGAAAATCTTCTATTTATTATGTGCAGTGTTCGGTCCTCAAACTTTTCTGAATGTAGAATTGAAGAGTGTTCGCTTAAAAGCTCTTTAAAAGTTTGTTTATTATAATGTAATACTCAGTTTTCAACTCCGTCTAAGAGATTTTATCTCTTTACAGATCCGACCTGATAGGCAGACATTATATTGGAGTGCCACATGGCCAAGGGAGGTTGAAAAATTGGCTAGGCAATTTTTACATAATGCATATAAGGTTAGAGAAATTCTTTTTTGTCAATCACCACCGTACTTCCATAGGCCTTGTAGTTGTAGAAACAGGTAATGACATTTAGATGCTGTAATGTATCAGGTGATTATTGGTTCATCAGATCTTAAAGCTAACCAGTCAATAAACCAAGTCGTCGAAGTTTTGCCAGAGGCTGAGAAATATAGAAGGTTTGTTAAAAGTTTGTGATATTCTACAAAACGTGTGAACAGACAGACAGAGAGATTCTTCCCATTTTTACATTTTAGCACATTTTTCTCATGCAGGTTAATAAAATTGCTTGTAGAAGTGATGGATGGTAGCCGTGTTCTGATTTTTGTGGAGACAAAAAAGGGATGTGATAAAGTAACCAGGCAATTGAGAATGGATGGATGGCCAGCTCTATCCATTCATGGGGATAAAAAGCAGGCTGAAAGGGACTTGGTTTTGTCCGAGTTTAAGAGTGGAAGAAACCCAATAATGACAGCCACTGATGTGGCTGCAAGAGGGCTTGGTAGGGTTACTACATGTCAGGTGTTTTAGGTTTTAATTTTTAGGTGTTCGTTTTCAAATTCTAAATGAGTCGGCCAGCTGCTTTCCAGTTCCTGAATATAATATGTGGCTTGGGTGCAGATGAAGGTTCTATTGTGCAGTGCACGATGATTGTGAGACTGCTTGGTTTGTCTCCTATTTGAATCTGCATATGCTTTTTGTTTCTTTCTCCGGACTAAAGAGATCCTTTGCTTCCTAATCAATGTGCCCTGGGTTTTAGTTTACATTATACTTCTTTTGGGCTTCCCTTTTGCATGCTTTGGAATAGTGGTTTGGTGAAGGAAGAAAGTTTGGTTTAAAGAGAACAGAGCCACCTCCTTTTCGTAGGACTTCTAGTACATTAATAAATCATTGCGTGAATGTCATATGGACACAAAGATAATGGTATTTGGAGGTTTCTCAATGATTTTTTTTCTGAGTTAAACGGGATGAAAATCCTATTCTGTTTATGGACACTAATGATTTGTAAATCCTGTCTATCAATGGGTCAGTAAGGATAGTGAGAAGGTAGAGACTTTGATGAGTAAGGTGCCTGAGATTTTGGTCCTCTATAGTTATCCGAGCATTCTATTGGTACCCATCCACAATTATGGAGCTGGTTGTTTTGCAGCCTGGTTGACTCATTCATTATTGCATTGTTGGTATGGAAGTCGTCGTGGTGACAGCTGCTACTTATCCCTGCAAAGTTAAGGTGGGCACATTTATGTAGTAATGAATGTGTTATCTTACTTTTGGTCATCAGATCTTAGGAATGCAGGGATAAGGTTTTTTGCAGTTTTATCCATGCTCTCCCATGTTGCATGTATATTTAATTAACTTTGACTGTCTGCTGTAGATGTGAAAGATATAAAATGTGTGATCAACTATGATTTCCCATCAAGCCTCGAGGATTATGTCCACAGAATAGGTCGAACGGGGCGTGCTGGTGCAAAGGGAACTGCATTCACATTCTTTACTCATGAGAATGCGAAACATGCCCGAGAGCTTATAAAGATACTGCGAGAAGCAGGGCAGATCGTCTCCCCTGCATTGTCTGCTTTAGCCACGTCTAGTGCCACTGGAGGTAACATTCGTTTCTCCTAATCCTCAGGATGGATGATGTCAGAAGTAGTTGGCTGATTACAATTCCAAATCATTGTTTCTTTTTTTTTTTTTTTTTTTTTTTTTTTTTTTTTTTTTTTTTTTTTTTGGTGTAGGTTCTAGTTCTAAATACCGCCCTCAAGGACACAGAGGCTTTGGTGGTAACCGAACAATGGTTTCAGGACCAAATGCGATCCCTATTGGTTTGACAAGACCAAGGCCTCGCTAGTTTTTCGCACGACTTGCTAGATAAGTAGTGTATTTCAGAAATGTGGACTATTTTCATTATGTACCATAGTTTGAGTTATTACTAGAATAGCAATTTAGTATTGTTTGGTATGAAAAATGGACATGTGGGCATATGTGTACATAAAACCAGATTACTGGTAGACATTGCTGAGGGTGGGTGTTAGTATTAGGTCTGGTGGTTGCTGGGTTGGTGAAGGTGAAGAAGGAAAATGAGAAGCCTATGGCTATTTTACCCAACCTCTTCAAATTGTGATCTGATTTTGATTAAAGCTTACATAACCTTAGGTTCAATCGGGGCCCCTTTACCTTTAGTACTTCATAAGGACACTTTCATTTTAGGTAAAGAATTTATTTGGATCTCCCCCTCCTATTTGTGTTTGTAAACCAAACAAGGGCCTTCATTCATTTTAAGTACTCTCATAATACAACTGCTGTCCTTTGCTTCTTTGTGCATAGCATCCGCCTTCCGAATAAGGCATACTATTGCAAATGTTAATAGTTCGATATTCGATATGTAATAGCTCAACTTCACTCTTACCCGATAGCTTTTTCTTTTGAGCTTCCACTCAAAGTTTTTAAAATGCGTCTCTTAGGAGATGTTAGTGAGGGGTTTCTAAATGTTTCGTTTTCTTCTCTAACCAATATGGGATCTCACAATCCACCCCCTTCGAGGCTTAGCGTCCTTTTCGCACTTGTTTCTTTCTCAAATTAATGTGGAATCTCATAATCCATCCCCTTCGAGGTTCAGTGTCTTCATTGGCACACCGACTGGTGTCTACCCCCTTTGGGGCTTCGTGTTTTTGCTGGCACATTGCCCGGTGTATGATTCTGATACCATCTATAAATAAATAGAATTTAATTACAACTAATTTAAAAAATGAAACAGACAAAATGACGTGTCTCATCCAATACTTCCAATTTGTTTTTTTTTTTTTTACAAGTGTATAATAAATGAAATTTGGAAAAGACAGCTGCATATTTTGGCAAAGGGACAGAACATCACAGTTTGCAGGACAGTCCCTACAGATGGCCAAGCCCCACTCAATAATTGAAGGGATTGGCGTTTATTGAAAGACATTACTGTCCTAAAAGAATGAAAATTATATTTGTGGCACAATCTTTAACAGAAATTACATCTTCTCCTTTTGACTTTTCTTCTCATTTCTTTCACTATTAGCCCTCATCATTATCTCTTTTACAATATTGGCCCACACTTCCAACTTCACCTCTCCCCCCACAAAATCCCAAAATATGTATTATACCCTTAATTGTCATCATTATTGATTTGAAACCTACCCTTTGTCCTCACATATATTTTCTTATACATTTTTTCAACCAATTAATTTGCATGGGCTATACTCAATTTACCCACATATATTTATATTAAAATATTCAAAACCTTTCTTTTATAAATTGTGTTATATTTTTTTTTATTTTTTAAAAAAATAATTATTTTCTCTGTATAAATTCCTAATGATTGCAAATTCTTAAATCAAGCTAATGTCCACGTATCACATATTGTTCTTGTAATCATTCAACCCTTTCATATTTACTTACTATAGGACATAATCTACCATAATCCTCCAATTTCTTTAATAAAGTTTGGATCAGTACTTAAATTTCATATTATAAAATAACAATTTTTTTTTTTTTTTTTTTTTTTTTTTTTTTTTTTTTTTTTTTTTTTTTTTTGCACATTTGATATATATGTGAAGGTGTCAAGTGGGGTTCCCCCATTAGTCAAAGCCATGTAGCATTCCTCCTTAAAAGGGACTTCTTTTTATTTATTTATTGTTATTATTATTAAGTGGTCTTGGTGGCTATAAAATATAATAGCAACAAATACAAATGATCAGCACTGCTCATTGTGGATCACCTTAATTTTAGTTTTTTTTTTTTTTTTAATAAAATAATTAATTATATATATTTAAAATCATGAGAAAAATATCTCCCTTATCAATGTGGAGCTTCATACTCTATAAATGGATTATCCATTTGGAACCCCACTAATCCATTATCAAATATATTCACTATTTTATTTTGCACTAATCCATTATCAAATTATAGCTTCTGAATTCTGTATCATGCAAATTTATTAATAACCTAATGTTTTTAATATATAAATTATGTATAAAGTGGGAAAATAAAAACATTTGATTGTTATTATCAGATAAACAATTCATTAAATGTATCAACAAAATAATTTAAGGAAAATTACCGAAATTACTATATTACCCTTAAAGGCCATTGCGATGATGGAGGTTGGTGGGCAGTGGAGATGAGTCAGCTTAGTAATTTTATAATGGAGCCATCACAATCAGGTTGGAAATCTTTTGGTAATAATTAATTGACTATAAATATAAATATAAATGTGTGTGTTCCTTTTTTACAACTCAAACAAAAATGGATTTTATGCCTTAATATATTTAAAGTTTTCCTCCATTTTATTAATAGCCATATTTTTCAATTATGATATATATATTTTTTTTTAATTTTCTTCATCAAAATACTACCCAATAAAATCTATAAAAAAAAAATCATTTAATGGTTAAATATGGCATAACACGGATGTTTCAATTTCTACTCTTACCGTTATTGAATTAATAAGAAATTTAAAATATTCAAGAATACAATATTAAAAAAACAAGCAATAAAGTAAATTGAAATATGAAGAATTAAAACATCAAAGAAAAAGTTGTATGTCAAACCACCACGGAGCTAGGTCAACATCTACACTACCAACAACTCACAACGTGAGAGTAATTTGATTAAAGGAATTTTATTCGGACATTTTAAATTATTATAATTTACTGTTAATATTAAATATTTAAAGATAATATAAGTTAACTTGAGCATAGTTCAATTACTATAAGTAATGTATTTTATTATGCATATTATTAAATTAAAAAATCGATGATACAAAAAAAAAGTGCTCATACTCGATCGAGAATGGAATTTTATATTTAAAATATCTATGTCATAGAATAGTATATATTTCCAAATGCATATCAAATATATATATATTGTTATATTCAATTAAAGTATGTATAATTGGAAAAAGTTGCTTTTAAATTATCTTATATAAAAAGCCAAAATTAGAAGGAAAGGAAAAAGAAAAAAGAAAATACAGCCTGGAAATAGCTAGTGGATGCCAGCAGATTTATAATTAATTAAAAAAAGAATATACTAAATTGTATTAATCCTCTGGACAGAGATATGCTTATTTCGAATTTTAATTCCTTTTTTCTTTTTTTTTTCTTTTTTTTTTTCTTTTTAATTTTAGAAGGTTCTCTTACAGTTTTATAAAAAATATTGTTCATTAAAAGTTTAAACAAATTAAAAATGTATAAATTAAAATAATTATTTTAAATGTACAAACCAAGAATCAAAATAGAATTTATAGCTTCTTGAGTTAACTTTAATTCTATAATTTTACCCGTTTGATAATTTATACATTTTTAATCTCATGTCTCTCGCATGCAAGACGAGTGTTTTACCATCGTATGAGCTACACTTTCACTATTTAGGACAAATTGAACCTCATGCCTCTCGCATGCAAAATGAACACTCTACCATATGAGCTACACTCCCCCGCTAATACTCCAAAATAAATACATTATATCAAAATTTCAGACAATTATATTTTGCATTAAAAAAAAGTAAAATTATAATTTTGTGTTCGATAATTTAATATCTAAAAACTAAAATTTGAGGTAAGGGGAATCAAACTCTGTACCTCTTGCAAAGCGTTTAATATATGAGCTACACCCCCAATTACCTTTTTGCATTAAAAAAAATGAAACTCATAATTTTATGTTTGATAATGGAGGTGCAGGGAATTGAACCTCGTGCCTCTCACATGTGAAGCAAGTGTTCTACCATATGAGCTATACCCCCGCTATTTCTTTAGACTAAATACCTTGTATGAAAATTTTGGACAATTATGTTTTACATTAAAAAAATAATTATTATAATTTTGTGTTCGATAATTTGATATCTAAAAACTAAAATTGGAGGTGTAGGGAATCAAACCCGTGCCTCTTGCATGCAAAGCAAGCACTCTACCATATGAGCTACAAACTCCAAAGAATTGAACTCTGTGCCTCTCACATGCAAAGCAAACACTCTATCATATGAGCTACACCCCCACTGTTTCTCTAAACTTAATAATACCTTGTATACAAATTTTGGACAATTACGTTTTCCATCAAAAAAAAAAAAATTATAATTTTATGTTCGATAATTTGATATCTAAAAATTAAAATTGGAGGTGTGGGGAATCAAACCCCCCGCGCCTCTCGCAAGCAAAGCAAGCGCTCTACCATATGAGCTACACCCTGCTATTTGTCCCAAATAAATACATTGTATGAAAATTTCAAATAATTACGTTATGCATTTTAAAAAAATAGAAAAATTATAATTTTGTGATCGATAATCTGATATCTAAAAATTAAAATTGGAGGTGCAAGGAATCAAACCTCGTGCCTCTCGCATACGAAATGAGCGCTCTACCATATGAGCTACACCCCCACCATTTGTCCTAAATAAATATATTGTATGAAAATTTCAGACAATTACGTTTTACATTTTTAAAACATAGAAAAATTATAATTTTATGCTCGATAAATTGATATCTAAAAACTAAAATTGGGTATGGGGTGAATCAAGTATGGTGCATGCAAAGTGCATGCTCTACTATATAAGCTAGGTTGAATTTTTAAATAAAAAATGTGAAGTTAATTAATACAACTTGTCCATTAGGAAAAAGAAAAAAATACCATATTTAATAACCACTAAAAATATAATTAGTGGCTCCTTAAACGGCCCTACACAACAACGACTTAAAAAAATATATTCCTGTGGATGGGCAATTACAGGAAAAAGTAAATGTAGGGTCAAGGTGTGATAATAGAAAAATAATGTCCTTACAATGCAAGTAAAAAAGTAAAAAGAGGGTTATGATGGTAAAAAGACGTTTTGTCGATTAGCAAAAGCAGAGGCCCCTATCAGCTATCACTTCCCCCTCCCAAGTCGCACCACTTATCGTATATACTTCAGACTTGCCCCTATCAATTCTTTTATCAATTTTAAACTTTTAATGCGCATTATCATTATTATCTGTAAAATTAAAATTTTATGTCTTTTTTTTTTTTTTTTTTTTTTTTAATTTCCTTTTTCGTTTTTTAGATTTATTTTAATTTCCAAGCCCGATTAGGATAAACGGGTAAGGAGAAGAGAACGC